AGGTCTGGTCAGAACCCTTATTGTCCTAGTATTATTTGGGAAAACTGTGAGTAAAAAAGATCTTCCAGCTGGTTAGCAGGGGAGACAAGACTGAGGCAGGTACTCATCATCTCACTAAACCACACAGCAACCATTAGCTAATTAATCTTTCACTTCCTCCCACAGGATGACCTAGAATTCAACTTGGATTGAGGTCAGACAGACCACACTTCACCACTTTTCCATTTTTTACTCTTTCTTCTTTCCTGGTTTTAACTTTCTCCTCCCATGAGTCCTCTTCTTCCTTCTATTTCAGTTTTAGAGAACTTTCCACACACATGTTTCTTTTGTATGGTTTTCATGACATTTTGTCCATGTGGTTAATATTCCCTCATCTGTATGACTGATTGGAGGAGGCTTCTGTGTTATTTTTGGCTTGGGCATCCATTTCCTGCCTGTGACTGACAACAGAGACTGCCTTCTGAAATGCCCACAGTGCCTATAAGAGGAGCTGACAGAGGGCAAGGCAGAGCCACAAGAAGAGGTGGAGTCTCCCAGGCTCAAGGGAATCCAGCTCCCTACATGGCAGGCCTCTGATATCTGAGACGTGAGCTAAGAAGGAATTCTCAGCATCCATTCATCACGGGGAAAGTACTTGACACTGGGGACTCACCTTGATTAAGAATGGCATTGGACTAAGAGGTAACAGGTATCAACTTAACTCTCCTCACTGTTTCTCCAATATCTGATGGGAGCCTGGAGAGCAGCGGTCAAGATATCTGAAGCTCCTGGCCTAACTTTACATCAAAGTATGCAAAGATTGTTTTCACCAAGAGGTTGGAACAGGAAGAACATCATTCACACTAGAGGCTTCTTCCACTGCCTCATGAGACCTTAATCAGACCTTAATCTGAGAGCATGTAGCATCATCTGAATATGCATTGTCACCCTTGGACACATTTGCTCTCTGGAATGTGCTGCACATCAGCGTGCATGAGATGGTGGTGCCTGGTGAGACAGCAGCCCAGATGAAGCTTTTTCCAACTCTGAGAGTCTATGAAATTCACCTTCCCACTATTTATCCATTATTTGGCTCCAGGCAAGCATTTTTATAGGTGGAGATTTACCAGATGGTGTGCATTTAGAAAACAGGTCAAAAGAGTCACTGCCTTTTGAAACCAAAGAAGCAGTAGGACAGGAGTAAAATACAGGAAAAAGGTAAAGAGTCTGTGTAACTTTCCAGCTCTAGGTATGTGGTAAGGGGGCTAACAAGACAACACATCTATATACTGGGGCAGGGGGATGGAGAAAGAAGGACTCTCCAAGCAGAAGAGAGGAAATGAAGTGTGAAACTGCTATTGCTGCTAAGTGGGGTCTCTAATTCCTCTCTCCATAACGGTCATGACTTCCATTTGGGCTTCCCTCATAGCTCAGCTGGTAAAGAATCCACCTGCAATGCAGGAGACCCCAGTTCAATTCCTGGGTCGGGAAAATCCCCTGGAGAAGGGATAGGCTACCCACTCCAGTATTCTGGCCTGGAGAATGCCAAGGACTATATAGTCCGTGGGGTCGCAAACAGTCGGACACGACTGAGCGACTTTCACTTTCATCAGTTCTGATCTCAGGGAGTGCTCAAAGTCCTCTTCTCACTTTGCTCCTAAATTTGGTTCTGAACAGGGTAGAGAATGGCATTTATATTTATGCCATATCAATTTTGGAGAAGACTAGCTCGTGTGAAATTGGACATTAAGATGCTATGGAAATGAGCCATATGGAGAAGGAAGAGGTGGAATTAGAGAAGGTGTGGAAAGACAGATGCTTATTTTCTAATCATGACCTTCAGTACCAACTATCCAAACAGATACCTCAATTCAGATAAAGTCTCTGAAAATCTTAATGCTTCCAGTAACCTCAGTCTCATCTCATCTGTCTCCCAGCTTTTAATGGGACTTGGCACTCTTTGGAGTGTATTACATTAAGGTGAATGCTTTGAGTTCCAAGTGCTAAGGACATTTTTTTCCTGGCGTTTCAAGGGTTCAGGAATAGAAGAGGGCATTTAAAATATCAAGGAGAGGCCATGCTTTAGAAGCAAAGGGAATGATAGGGAATCTGGTCTGTTCCAATAAGGTATTCATCAAGATGTGTAGGGACAACAGGTATAACTATATAGACACAGAAGCCACTAACAATTTAGATTCATGATGATGTTCACATAAAAAACTCAAAGAACACAAAACTAAACACAAGCAGTGGCAAAAATAACTCAGGGAACTGGATTTTAGAAAGGACAGAAGTGGAAACCTTGTCAGCATACATGTTTCCAGGTTGATATTTAGTCAAGTTTAGTCCATAAGAAATCCTCCTTCATTGGCTGGGAGCTAAATCAAGGGATGTCTTCTTGTTTTAATTACTCTCTTATGCACTCATCACATAATCACTGTGCAGATGCCCTAAGGTAAAGCATATAATCAGAGGATAGATGAGATTCTGAAAGGAAGGATGGTGGTGAGATATAGGGACACTGACTGGGGACGAGGACCTGTGTTCTATCTATACTTGGCCTTAACTAGCTGGGTGACATGCAGCTGAGTTGCAATGCAGCAGGCAAAGCCCTAGGCTTAGAATTAAAAGTGACAGTTTTTCTGAACCTGACCAGGTCACTTGATCTCTGAGCCTCAGTGTCCTGTTTCATAAAATGGAAGTGAAAGTATTTCTCTTCCAAGACTGCAGGAAGGGCACTCTAAGAAATACATGTAAAATGGCTTTAAGAATTGAAATATGCCATACAAAAGAGATCTGGCCCAATTCTTTGAGTTATGGGTTGGCAGATAGTACCCCCAAAGCGGTAGGATATCATGCCTAAGGTCATAACAGAGTTGGGTGCAGAACTCAATTTCCAGGCTGAATCCAGCTTTCTGTGGCTAGCTGCAAAACAAGAAAAAAGTTGGGGAAGGAGAGGGAGAATTTTAAATGAAGTAGCAACCACCTTGTGAACACAAATACAAGGAGTTGTGTATGGCTAGAGTGTGGCTGCCGTCAGACACAGGGCCCAGAGATAAACCTCTAGCTCGCAAACTTTAGCCAGAGCCCACCTGTAATACAGTCCAAATACACAGAAGTCCCCTTAAGACTGCTGAGAACCCTAATGTAACAGCAGCTGGTTTTAGATTATGAGACCTTGTTTCTCAGGTTACGTTCGGATTCTTGCTTGCAGGTTCTCAGCAATAACATACCATTATTGCCTTCTAACTAAACAATGCTAAGAAACTAGAAATAAGAATGCCCTCTGCTCATGGCAAGTTCAATTCCACCACATTGTAAGAGAAAGTAACAATATGTCTCATGTGAAAATTTAATCTTTTAGCAACTCTTGTCTGTGTGTGTTAGTTGCTCAGTTGTGTCCAACTCTTTGCGACCCCATGGACTGTAGCCTGCCAGGCTCCACTGTCCATGGAATTCTCCAGGCAAGAATACTGGACTGGGTTGCCATTTCCTTCTCCAGGGGATCTTCCTGACCCAGGGATTGAACCTGAGTCTCCTACATTGCAGGCAGATGCTTTACCGTCTGAGCTACTAGGGAAGTCCAACTCTTGTTTGGATGGGCTTAATTTAGGCTTTGCACAAAAAAATAAGCACCTTCAATAAAGTCTGATGATCAGGAATGGGGAAACCCAGAAGAGGACATCCATCTGGGCAGACATGAAGTGTGGGCCATTTATCACCTTCGGCAAGTGCAGGAGACATGACTGCTAATTGGTCTCTTCATTAAGCAAGGAGACCATCTACCACAAGAGCAACTCACAAGCTAGTGGCAATTTGGGGCAATCTTTAAGTGGCTTCTAACTCATAGCCATATTTCCTCCTGAAATCTGCTGGCCTGGAAAATGTCTCTAATCCTCATGAATAGATTGCCTTCGCTTTCACTAATTTGACTCCCTGTGAAGGAGGAGGATGAGCAAGGGATATGTACCATACACAGAGGTCAAACAGTACACTCAAATCTTATCAGGAATGATCAGTCCTTTAAACTAGGCTTTGGCCAGAGAGCTTGTCTGTCCTAAGGAGTATAGATTCTTTTCCTAGTAAATAACTACTCTGTTCTACAGGAGTCTTACCATCTGTGTGATATATGGACAGGGACAAAGGGATATATGTGTAGAAGTGTGAGGCTTCTGTGGCAAGGAAGGTTTACGTGGGTGGGCAGATTAGCAAGGAAATTCTGCCAGCACCTGACAAGGAATGAGCAACCAGCACTTCAGTTTAGAGATTAGTGGGCAAATCCCAACCCCAGTGGATGTGCCAAGAGACACGGTGGTAAAGTCCCGCGGAGGCAGGAGACTTATGGTGCTGACAGCCAGGTTCCGCCCTGGCCCCACCTCTATGCAGGGAAATGACAGGTCAAGGTTTCACTTGAGGGGTCTACAAAGGGCTGCTTATCAAATGCCCGTGGACAAAAAGAAGGAAGCATGGCCTTGGTCTGTGGCTTCCTTTACCACGTAGCCTTCAAGATTCACTGGTCATTAGCTTCCAATGGCTCTGCTATAGATGTGTCAACCTAGGCTGTGTGACATCTAGAGCTAGCATGTCAGATAAACTAGATTATTCATTTGCATGCAGCTCTGACATTCCTGGGATCTTGTTGGTATTTCTAGTGAGTTTTACAAGATTTATCCAACTCGCAAATTTATCATCTGATCAGATGAGGACTTGGCACCATATTTTTCATTAAAAGCATAAAGGTAGTGGGTATGGATGTAGTCTAGGCAGCTACTGGGGCTGCCTCTGGGCCCACAGTTCTCAGGCAACGGCTCCAAAAGAGACAAGATAATAAATACTGAGTAAACAAGGCCCAAAACGTGCAGCAGACTCCAATGTACAAGAAGACCCATTGTCACATGGTTTCTACCTCTCTGCTGAAACTAGTGAGTGCAATAATGTGCCAAAGACAGCAGACTGCTGAATGGCAGGGCCCAGCAACCAAGTCACAGGACAGCCCGAGTCTGAAGAAAATTCGGCCTTACCTGGAGACACGGAGGAGTCGTAGGAACTCCTCTCCTTGCGGTTCATCTTGAAGGCCTGGATGTCCTTTTCCCTGTACGTTCCAAAGCCTTCGTAGCTCCTCCTTTTATTCGCACTCACATCACTGTCCCACTTGTCGTTTGGAGGGTTCATCTCGCTGAACACATCCAGGCTCTCCGGTCTTGCGCTGCCCCCGTCCCCACCACTGCCAGAGTACCTTTTCACGCAGGAGTCCGCAGGCTCGCTGCCCAAGTCCCCCTTGTCCTTGGCCTGCGTCCAATGCTGGGCGTCCGAAAGCGACAGCGTAGACAAGGTGTCCACCTCAAAGTTGTTCTTGGACGCTTTGTGGCCGGCTTCACTGTGCTGGTGCTTCTGCTTCTCCTTATGCTTGCTCTTCTCACTCACCAAGGAGAGCTCTTTGTCCGCGCTGCTCAGCCGCTCGCCCAGGATGTGGCTGGAGAAGCCAGTGGCTTTGCCTGCGAAGAGACCACTCAGGTTGTCGTGGGTCCCCAGGAGCCGGTCTTCCTTGTGCTTGTGCTTGTGTTTGTGTTTCCGCTTGTGGAGCCGACCGCTGGACAGGCTGGCGCCGCCCGCCTTGGGAGGATTCAGGGGTGGCTGCCTGTCACCGAGGCCCAGGCCCACGGGCCCCTGCAGGTGCATCCCGTGTTTTGCTTTATGCTTAGCCGTACCAGACATCTTCACGTGGGAGCTCGTGTGGAACTGAGGTGGCGGCACTGTTGGCCTCATGAATGGGGACGCTGCTCCGAGCGTGTGTGACAGGTACAGAGGAGCTGGGTACTGACTGTAATAACCAAGGTTCATCATAGGCATTGATGTGTAAGGCATTCCATAGGGTGCATAGTAACTTCCACTGGGAATAGGGTAGCTGAACCCTTGTAAAAAAGGCACCTTTGTCATGGTGTCATTGGTTTTTGCAGGCCTACCACGCTTCTTCTTTGACTTTAAGTCTGAAGTCCTACGAAGATAGAGCAACGGGTCATACTGGATATATGGCACCGGGTAATAGTGATCAAAATTAATCCGAAAAATGCTGGGATACGGATTCTCATGGTAGAAGGTATAACTCCGGTGGGAGATCCTGAACACCTGGAACTTAGTGATGAGCTCTTCTAGGTCTGCCAGAAACTGGAGATCATCACGATTTTGCAGGCTTTTCCGTTTCCTCTTGTGCTTTGGCTTCTTGAGGCTTTCGTGGGCCAGAAAGTTGTCCACGATGAGATGCTTCTGCCGGTGGCCATGCCGGTTCTTTGTGCTGGTGTCAGATGGGATGGCCTCCGGGTTGTCCAGGGAGCAGAAATCAAAAGAGTACCTCCGTCGGGATTCAGAACTCTTCTCTGCTTGGTCAGACGTGCTGTTGTTGTCTGTCCCAATGCCACTGTCACTCGGGATCGTCTCTTCACTGTGGGACTCGCTCACAGGGGACAGTGTTATCTCCTTAAGTGACCCGATCTCGCAAAGGTGTGAAGGGGAGTTGGCCATCAGCCTGGGTGGAGACAGCTTCCAGGTCCCACTATGGATTCCCTTTTGGGTTTTGGTTGGAAGAGCACTGATGGGCTGGAGATTTGGCATAGTTTTCAACTCTGAAAAATTGGTTTCAGTGCTGGCGGGGCTCAGGTTGCCATTGGACCCACCCAACTGTGTCGAAAGTGGGTGCATAGCTGCTGGTGAAGACGCCACAAGTGACTGAAAGTTGGAAGGCACGGCGGGAACATCCGGCTGGCTAGAAACAGGCCTCGGGTGCTTGATGGCTGTTTTGGGTTCTTCGGATGGGGGTGGCAGCTCTGCCCTCGGCTTCCTGCCCCTTTTCTTGCCGATGTAGATGGTGCCCCTCTTGCTGACATTAATCTGTTTGCCCAGTTTGCTCTCGATCGCTGCTGCTCCAGGGCTGGTCTCCGGGGGAGCTTTGGCCTTCAGTGCTATGCTGCTGGAGCAGGACAAGATCTGGTTCAATATATTTTTCCTCTTGAGTGTTTTCATCTTATTAATAGTTTTGATGGTCTTCTTATCCAATACCCCAAGCTTTCCAACTTTTTTGTGAAATTTCATCTCACTCATGGGTTTGTCCTCTCCCGGCACTAGTTGGGCCAACTTAGCTAAACTGCGTCGTCTCTTTCTCTTCTTGGTGCCAGGAAACTCCCGACTGATGGGACTGACTGGACTGGTGGACGTCCCCTCATGAATTGTCTCAACCGTGAGCAAAGGCTGCTTCTTTGGTCGCCCCCGCTTCTTTTTGACTGGCGTGATCACAGTAAGACTGTCTGTGTTGGTGTAGAGAGGGCTGGATGGAGTGATGGGATAAGCAGAAGGTGGTTCCACCATCAGTTTATCGGAGGTGGCCATGACTGCCTCCCGAAGCAGACTGGTGGGTTTTGGTTTGCTGCACGTCCACCTCCGTTTTGCGGCAAATTTGGGGTGCTGGATTTCTGGCAGCTTTCTTGGAGAGTGATCTGTGCATGTTGGAGGCGTCATGACCATGGGTGGCTTTCTCTGCTTAGGTACACCTCCTGGGACAACTTTCTCTGCATTTACACCAGTTTCAAGGCCAGCTGAGGGCAACTCGTTCTCCATCATTTTACCCAACTTAGGGACACGGGGATCTTTCTTATTACCCTCAGGGTTGGAAAATAGCCTATTAACTACTTCACTGCTCATAGTGATTCCAGAAGTCAAGGCTTTCTCTGGCATGATCTTTTCCACCACTGCTTTGATGGACTGTCTCTTTTTCCTCTTATGGCTGCTTGGATCGAGGCAAGGTGCCTTGATAGGGATAGTAATCCGGACATGGCTTGAGTCATTTTCAGGATTACTGATGGAACTCACATTCTGCCTGGCTGGTGAGGCCTCTTGGGCATTATCTGCAGAGTAGCCTTCCCTTTTCCCTTCTGTACTGTCAAATGCTTTCTGAGCATTCTTGACCCAGTCTAGGTCTGAGTTTGGTATGGTTTGACTTATCACGTCTTTTTTACTGGACTTTTTCTTGCTGCTTATAGTAGGTGGTTCAAGGGGCTCCTTTGTACTTCCTCCATCTTGATCTACCAAGGGCTGAATCCCACTGCACTCAGCAGAGCTGCTGGGTGGGGCTGGTGAGCTGTGGTTGCTTGGAGATGGAACCACACCTCCCAAGAGCAGATCTTTGTTACTGTTAGACAACTGATTCCATGTGCTCCCTGCACTGCCTTTCTTACCCTGGGCCTTTGCAAAGGAAGCCATGGGCTCAAGAGCTGGGATCTTGCTGGTGCTTGCAGTTTCTCTGCCAGACTCTGGACTGATGAAGCAATTCTGAGTGGCAGGTCCATTGTCAGAGTTGGTGGACCAGTCCATGTGGTTCTGGCTGCTGCTTTTTTGCTGGTGCTTTGGTTTTAAGGTGTCACTGGTGAAATCCTGTGGGAGGCCTGGGTCATAGTGGAGAGCTGAGTGTTTCTGTGGCCGCTCATAAGCCTAAGGGTGGGTGGAATGGAGAAGGAGAGAGAGAGAAACAAAGATGAGCATGTTGAAACTATTTAAAATTTCATATCAAAAGGCTTAATTATTTATAAGTTGGAAATAGCCACCTTTAACACCAGAATGCTTTGTGGAGGTATTTTTCAGTTTCTTTAGTAAAAATATGTTGTGTTGATTTTGAACATTAATAAGGATGCTTTAATCGCCTTTCTCGCCCTAAATAACAGGATCTATCTTGGTTTAATGCAATCTCAAGAATGAGAACTGTTTAGAGATGGGAGGTCCTCTAAAGGTCCCATAGTCCAATGCTTCCATTTTCCAAATGAAGAGGTCAAAACTTCAACCATGGAGAGTCCTGCCCAAGGTGGCAGAGTTCAGGAGAGCATCTTAGCTTCTCAACAACCTGTGCTCATTTCCATAACTCCAGCTGCAACTTATTTCTGCCCCAGCTTCTCCTCAAACGCACATGGTTTCCTATTGCAGTTCATGTCTGCTTGGGGTTTACCCTGGCGTACAGCATCCCTGCACTCAAACAAGCAGCTCATTAGGAACCAAGAAGCAGAAACAGCACAAACTGAGGAATTAAGAGGGGAAGTTTGTCGTGAAGTACGGGCTTTGGAAAAATCTGGTTTTCATGAAATAGAATGAAAGTCTAAACCCAGTGTTGCTTACTTTGCCCCCAGAAATGACAAAGCTTTATTGAGACAATCTTCTGGCAACACAAAAGTCAAGGGAGGAAAAGCAAGCAACTCAGGGGTGAACTGTGGCTCCTTTAGAGCGATAAAGGGACTGTCCTCTGTTACCAAATACCACTTTAGGGCCTTTGCTACATGCGTTGTTCTTGTCCCAGTTCTGGCACCTTATCATTTTGATAAGGACCTTGTCTTTTTACCAACTTATTACTTGAAACGATAATATTGTCTGTTTATTGTTTCAAGACTGTGATATATTTTCCTAGTGGTTTGGTTTTAAAAATAAATAAGACTTAACTTTCTTCCAAAAAAACAAAGAAAAGGGAAAGGGGCCTGTTAAATGTTTTCATGAAATAATGTATCTCATCGTTGTTGTACTTATCATAGTTTTAAATTTACATTTGATTTTTGTGCTAATTTAATTAATGCCTGTTTTCCTTTCTAGCCTGTATACACCATCACAGAGATCCCAAGCACAGTACCTGGAAAATAGTAGGCACTCAATAAACATTTATTGAATAAATGAGGGAAGACCCATTTTACTATGGGTAATCCATTTTATCATTAGTGAGATTAGTGACCTGTATATTGCAACATATTGTCTGCAGACAGTTACCCTCTCCAGCCCTATTTCTTAGGACATTTCTTCTGCATGCACCATTATCTCTCATGAAGACATCTATCACAATCCTTATAATGCAATGTGCTATTTTTTGTGTACTTTTCTGTCTTCTCCTAGACTAGAAGTATTTTGAGGTCAGAGATGCTCTCATTTATCCTTTTATCCCCAGTATCTACTACAAAGCAAACCACCCAGAAAGTTCTCAATAAATGTTTGTTGAATGAACAAACAAAATGATATTTAAGATGTCTATTACCATGACAAAATACATGGCCACACACAAAAGACCATAAGGCACCAATCACTCATTTCATAATGGCTCATAATGAAACTGGAGTGCTCAGGTGCATTAAATGTTGAACAAAAGATCCTTCCCAAATACTTAAGGACTAAAGATACTTGAACGGTAACTCCCCCTCAAAGCAATTTTTACTGTTAGCTCTCTTCCATCTCCCATTAATTGTTTCACTTTCCAATTAACTCTGCCTTTGGGGAAACCCATGTGACTGTCAGGAGGGTGGATTTCACTCTGGCAGTTGAAAGGTGAGGCCTGCTTACTTACACTCAGGGCAGACCAGCTGAAAGTAAGCAGTTAAGCATGCCTGGTTCCCAGTGCCTCCATCTGGACACTGCCGGATCCCATTGTTTCTACCATTTCAGCTGCAATTTGCCCTGCTGGGAGAGCCTGGCAATCAAAGGGCAGGGTGCACAAAAGGGAAGCACAACAAAAGATCAGCAGTAACGGGGGAAATGGTGCTTTAAGCCTGGTGCTCAGATGGCTGCAGTGAAGGGGCAAAGAGGACTGAGGAGGAGTGCTTTTTAAGGGGTTCAGGAGAACAGGGCTTTCCTTCCAGCAGTGGCTGATGGCTATATCCAGTTGCATTTCACAAAATCCCATTTCTTCATCTGTCAGCCATGACAGATTATATACACAATGGTGAGGCTGTCAGTTCCAATATGTCCTTCACTGAGAATTGAGCACTTACTCCATTGAGACAGAGATAGACAAGGCAAAACAGGCTCTGAGCTCAGTTGCAGGGGTGCAAGCTCTCCCTCTCGTCCTTCCCCAGCGGTCTGGGGGATATGATTCCACATACAGGGCTTTGACTGGGGCCTTTATTAACCCACATAGCACATGTTTCCATTTCCCCTTTAGACTGTGGGGTTTTTTCCAGGGGATCAGACCTGAATCTTTCATGGACTTTATACCACCCTCAGTCCCCAGCAAGGCTATCTCTGAAATGGTTAGCAAAGAAGGGAAGAGCTGATGATATTCTATATTGGGCTAGATTATTTTTATGGAAAACTTTTAATACAATCAAGTTCAGCATGGCTCTTGGTTGCTTCCCCATCCCCACAAATTGACTGTGGAATTCACAGTCATTCTGAAGGTCTGGCTTCCTTTTTATATGTGCTTTCCATGCACATTGAGCCTAGGCCAAATGTTCATCAGGGAACTACCATTTTGAAAACACTAGACAGATTTCTCTCCTACAGGATGTGTTTATAGAAGCATGTCTGTCATGTGAAAATTACTTTATAAAGTAGATAACTACACCCTCCCCCACAACCAATGTATAAATTAACTTATATAAATTTAAATTTTGTACAAGTCAGATTTCTTTTTAAAGAGCATTTTATTTTTTTACATAGTTTAAAAAACAAGCATTAAATCACTGCATAAAAACTTAAAAGTCTATGAAAATGGAGTAAAGGAGACTTATCTCAGGGTTATCCAAAGCAAGTCCCAATTTTTGTCCCAATAAGAGGATAACATGATGATTCTGGCCTGAGGAAAATCGTACAACTCATCAAAAATCAAGCATGACTTTGTGGATGACAGACGACACTTTTGGGTTAGCTGTGTTTGTGCTACTTTTTGCTGATACCAGTCATTTTAATGTGCTGTTTGTGAGATATTTTGCTTTTACATGAACAGGAAGATGTGCCTGGGTATAAGAGAATGAGGGGAGCTTTATCTCTTATTTTGGCACGTGGTACTTCTCAAGATGTGGTCCTGGATCCCTGCATCACAGCCAGCTAAGGTTCTGGTTATTAATACAAATTCCTGCGCCCTGCTGCAGATACACTCATTGGCCATCTCCCAGGGTGGGACTAAGGAATGTGCATTTTAACATGCTCCTCAGATAATTCTGAAATATAACTGAGTTGTAAAACCACTCATCTACTGTTTTAACACCATAATTCCTCTGGGGTGGGTCTCTTATGTGGTTGCTACGACATTCACAGCACTTTTTGGTGGTAAATATGCAGAGTTACCACAGGCCTGTTAGGATATGTAGTTTGGCACCACTGAGCATTCCTGATTGCTCTCTGAGCTCTTTGTAATTCACATAGTTAGAAACTTTTAACACAGTCCATTCTCTGTTCAGGTTTTCCAAGTATACTGCGCAGTGAGCAGAAGAGTCAATTACAAAGGTGGGTGAGAATCCTGTCCTCCCAGAAAGAACTGGGCATGCAGAGGTTCATGACCTCCCACCCTGGGATTTCTACTTCCCCATCTCATCCAAGCCAACCCCAGAGCTCTGGGAATCCTGGCATTCCACCCCTGAGGCTTGAAGTGAGTGCTCAAGCCTGAGCAAGAGGTGAGTGTGGGAGAAAAGGAATGCAACCCCACGCTGTCTGATTCAAGGTTCTCAACCCTGGCTGCACGTTAGAATCATCCAGGAAGCTTTGTAAAGAACACCACAGCTCAGATTTGACCCAGGCCAATTAAGTCAACATTCTAGAGGTGGGACCTGAACAGTAGTACATTTTTCAAAGCTCTCAGCCATCCCAATGCGCAGACAGAGTTGAGAACTACCAGATTATATCAAAGACAGGGGTCTGGGTTAGGGACTAAAGAGGCTCTGATATTATCAGGAGATGTTCCAGCTCAGTGGTTTTCAAATGTGTTCCACAGAGTCCCAGGATTTTGTAAAGACATTTCTGAATTGTAGCCAGTGAATTGGGCAACAGAGAGGCTCCGGGCCATTCTTTTAACCCCCAATTGAACAGAGCAGCCGTGCAAAGGATTTCATTTAAGAGAAAGGAGGTGGAGAGAGATGCGTCTGTCATTTAAGAAAAGACTGAAAATTACCATTTTGGCACATGAATTGGAGGAATGCTCATGCCAGCTTCCACTGAACTTGCTCTCAAAGCATCTCTTCTAAGCCCAGTTTGTTCTGCTTTTGCGAATGGTAGGTAGAGAAGAATGTCAACTAAGTACCTGATTTAAACCATGGCTTTATGATCCTCTAAATTCAGAGAATTCCATGAATTCTCTGTGTCCCTTCAAAATTCCTATGTTGACATCCTAACTCCCAATGTCATGGTATCAGGAAGTGGGGCCTTTGGGAGCACAGTGTTGGATTAGGTTATGAGAGTGGAGACTTCATGAAAAGGATTAATGCTGTTATAATAAAAGAGACCCCAGAGAGTTCACTTGTCCTTCACCATGTAGGCACACAGAGGGAAGAGGGCCATCTATGACTCAGGAAACGGGCTCTCTCCTCACACTGAAGCTGCCAACACCTTGCTCTTGGAATTCCCAGCTTTCAGAACTGTGTGAAATAAATTTCTGTTTTTACAAGCCACTCCATCTACGGTATTCTGTTATAGCAGCCCAAACAGACTAAGACAATGGAACATAGAAAAGCCCCTAAATGCACATGACATTTCCAATT